TGATATAGTTATGATATTTATAATGATTAATCATATTATATATAATTAAATTTAATCAGATCATATAGAATTAAATATAATCATGTCGATGTAAGTTCACTTTTGTTATTGTATAATTTCACTTAAAGTTAAGATGTTTAAAGGCTTTACAGAATTAACTTTCAGAAGAAATGCCTAGTGTCACTAATGTTAAAAATATTCTAGCAGGTTGCCATCTATTCTGTATTTTCTATTAGACATCATATTAAATAGTAATTTTTTTCAGACTACTTAAAATTCAAATCATGGATAAAGTTTTAATAATTATTGAATCATTATAGCCATTTTAACTGCTTACCAATATATTATATACATATATAATTAAAATATATTTATATTCTAACTTTAAATTTATGATTCTCTTTTGAACCAACTCAGTATTCATTTATTGATTATTATATATTAATAAATAAAGGAATGACTTTACTACAAGAATTGGTTAGTAATTGATTTTTCATCTCTTGATACTGATTTAATATATAGTCAAGTACCAGTGACGAGGCCTGTTTCTCACGAAGTTCTGCTTAACAGAAAATACAATTGTGTTATATATAATACAGGATCTATTGATAAATACAAAATATTATCTATAACTATTGTAATTATTTAGCATTAAAAATCATAAATAATAATTTTAATACATCCAAATAAAAGTGAATGCTGACTTGAGAAACATGAAAAATGCAATGTTTCCCTAGTTAAAGGCAGTACTATATTCTGCTGTCACCTTCAATGACATTGAAATAGGACACTAACTTCAAAAATAAGAATGACATAATTGTGGCTTGTAGTTAGTCAGTAATGGAACACTTGTCCAAATATTGGATAGTAGTTTAAATGTAAATGTAAATCTGCTTAACACAGGAAAAAAGAAATAAGCACGTTGAGTTTTAAGCAAGTAAACTTATCTCAGCCCTGTTTTTCTTGGGGCTTTAATTAATAAATGATATCTTCAAGCATGTAACAAAACCTAATGTGGATTTACTGCGATCATAAATGGCAACAGGAAAGTAAGGAAGAGATTTTGAAAATACTCATCCATCTATCCTGAAACAATTAATCTTCAGAGGAAGTTATTAACATCAATCTCTTTAGCTGAATTCACCTGAGAATTAGATGCTAGTAAAACACATTCATTATCTAGCATTTGAGATTTTCATCTCCAGACTAAAAAATAAACAAAAACACAAAAGCAATTAAAATATAGTTCTTGTTTAACAATTTCCTCTGTTAATTACCTTTACGAAGAATCAGTCTTCCAAATTGACATGCACCATGTATAAATTAATCTTAAAGGAACAGGAAAGTATACAAGCCTAGCAAGAGTTATTTTATTTTTCTCAAAAAGAACATCAATCATAAATGAGAGCATTAGCCTCAAGACTAACATTTTTCTTGGGTCCTATTTAGGAGCCAGGGGACACGGATTTATTTTGTTTAAATATTAATTTTGTCATATTTTATAGGCTTTTAGACAAATCCCCCATCCAGATATAATTACTTCAATAAACTTAATATTTCAAAAGTAAAATTTAGATGTTAGAAAGGGATATAAAATCTATTTGAATATATGTTTACCGTTATTTTTATCTTATCTATTAAAATATATTTCTTAGTTGCCATTTGGGCATGCATGGAAAATTTATCTAAACACAAGAACCTATAGGGGATACCTAACATTTTAGTTTTTAAAAATTAATCACCAGTTATATTAGATAACATGTAGTAACAAACAAGCCACTGTCACAGATTCCAATGATAAAACTGCCCATACAGATAGAAGTATGTTTTTCCTAGTCATAATGTGTGCATTCCTGATGAGTAGAACCCTTTCCTCCAACTAGTGTTTCAGGAACCACAACCCCTTCATGTAATGTTCACTGATTTTCATTTTGAAATGGAGGGGCTACATCTAGAAAATTTTAACTATTAAATAATTGCAGCATAGGCCCTTTGGTTTGCTTACAAATTAGGCTTTTGACTCTTCTAAGTAGAATTAAGAGTACGTTAAATATTTATTTTGTTCACTAGGCTAAGGCAAGGAATTGGAAGGTGCAAAGAACTAAACCTCTTTAAGTGTAGCCTTTAGGTAGGCCAGAGAAACATACAAATATTTTACATATTTTACATATCTTGGATAGGTGAGCAAACTATTATTCTGCCTCTGCCTCTGTCTTTGACCACTTTTTCTTAGATTCCTTTTCTGTCTTCTTTTTTTAAATACTTTATTTATTTGAGAAAGAGAGAATGCACATGCACATGCTCAAGTGGGGATAAGGGGGAGGAGCAGAGGGAGAGAGAATTTCAAGCAGATTTGCTGAGTGCAGAGCTCCACATGGGCTGGATCCCTCAACCTTGAGATCACCACCTGAGCCAAACCCAACAGTCAGGTGCTCAACCAGCTGAGCCACTCAGGCACCCCTGTTCTCTTTTTTTAATGGATATATAGAATAGTTTTGAAACCTTTTATGGTGTGTCAAACACCTACTAAGGGAGATAAAATTGCAAAAAAATTACACATCTCCTTCCCTTATAAATACCATTTTCCAGTGGAGAAGGCACACATTTAAAAAATTATTATACTGACATATTTAAGATGCTACAGAAGAATGTGTACAACATTATAGGAGTCAAAAAAGTAATAACGATCTACTCTGGTGAATAAGTTAGAGAGGTCTCCACTGGAAAGTCATTCTATATCAAAAGATGATTTATTTTGATTCAGTAAACATATTATTAATTGCATTCCACAACCTTGGGCCCCTAAAATAAGTAAAGCTTGACCCTTGTTCTCATGGGGCTCATAACCTACCAGAAAGACAATAGACAGACATGTAAAATGTACCTATAAGACTTGCATCTTAGGTTCTTTGTGAGAGACAGGAGACTGATCTGGGGTTGGTGACCAGTATACAAAGCCAAGACCTTTAATCATCAGTCAGCCTCTAGATCATTAAGTGAGGAATTAGAATCATTCTCTACTCCCACAGAAATATGATGAAAGAAATTCACTCTTCATCTCTGGCTCTAGGAGAGATATAAAGGGAAAATGTTTCCTTTGAGAGCTCCTACAAACTTGCACTAAGTTTGAATGGGAGTCAGAAACCAGCCTGTCCCTGTGGCCCATAAGCACTCAAAACCAACACTTTATGTCATCCTAAATTGCTCTTAGGTACCTAACATAATCAACGAAAATCTTCTTTGGATCTAAGTCTCAAAGACTTCTCATTGATAGTATTTCAAGGAATAGAGGCTGACAGCTAAAAATTATAATAAATAAATTACTAACCACAAAGCAGAGACACTGAAGATATATCTATAAACTCTATTCTAAAAATAATGTTAACATCAGATACAACATATATGAGGGTATCTTAAATATGTTTATTTTTTTACTTTTTTGTTTTTATTTTTTTAAATATGTTTAAAAACAAAAGACATTATTGAATGTATGATGAAGCAAGTTATTATCAAAATTGACCGAATACTTTGAAAAAATGAGAAATCTGTAAGTAAGGATGCCCGGGTGGCTCAGCAGTTGAGCATCTGCCTCGGCTCAGGGCATGACCCCAGAGTCCCAAGATCGAGTCCCACATCGGGCTCCATATGCGGAGCCTGCTTCTCCCTCTGCCTGGGTCTCTCCTCTCTCTCTCTCTGTCATTAATAAATAAATAAAATATTTTTAAAAATTTAAGTAAAAATAGAATTATCTGGTTAATATATGAAAGAATGGAACAAAAAAACACATTAAATACAGTCACAGACAAACTAACTGGAAGAAAATTTGAAAAAAAAATACACACAAGGCAGTATTAAGAAGTATAAGAAAATAAAAGAAAAAATCCTACATGAAGATCAGAGTACACTCTAATATTGTAACAGCACTCCCATCGATCTTAAGGGTTAATTACTTCAAGCTTATGTACTCCTGGTTTGCTGACAAAGTCCCATGATCTGTATCAGAATCGATTTTCCTTGAGATTTGCAGACCACTGACCTTGAGGAGTGAAGAACCAAATTTTCTCAGAAGATAAAGCCTGACTACATTCAGAAACAACTGTGGCTGATGCCAACAAGTCTGTTCAGGGTCACACTGACATACAACTATAGCCTGGGCACCTGCTTCTGCTACACTTGGTCCCCCTTCCTTTCCCATGCCATTTCCTTTAAAACATTCTGGCTTGGCCTGGATGAGGAAGATGGTCTTTAAAATGTTATTCCACCATCGTCCCAAATTGCCAACTTCCTGAATAAAGGAATCTTTCCTTTTCCACCATCACTATCACTTGTCATTCCAGGGCTAATTTTTAAGTAGTAAGCTGCTGAACCAGAGTTTGGATTCAGTTTTTTGTCTAGTAACAAAAAGAAGGAGGGAAAAAACATATATGGACAGCACAAAAGGGAAAAGTATTAAAAAACACAATCCTTGAGAATTTTCCAAAACGGATGGAAGGCACAAATCTGTTTGGGTGGATGGAAAGGTTGAAATCCATTGTAGTAAGATATCTAGGGTGAGGATAATCCTTGAGAGTTGTACTAAATTAAGGAAAGGACACTGGGCCTTTGTCCTCCAGAATTGATCATTCGTTACTTAAGGGTACCCTTGGGGAAGTGCTGTGATCTTGGGTGAGGCAACTTATTGTGGCCAAAGGCAATGCCATCTATAAAGATTTAAGCCAGCCATAGCTGAGTAATTGTTATGAGCAAAGTTCCAACAATGTTTTCAAGCAAAACATCTGTTTGAATTCTCAAACCAACATTACTAGCTGGTGCCATATAAAGAGTTACTTTTCAGCCACAGTGTTTTGAATTGTAAAACATTAATAAATATGGTTATAACAATGCTTGCGAAAAGTTAACAAACGTCATTCTCTTCCCTCCTTTACTACCCTCCCCACTTGAGTGGGCTGGATTCCTGTTGCCCACTGAGCACTTGTTGCGCTGACCATTAAAGGACTTACCCTGTGAAGCTCTGCACTGTAAGATCACCAGGAAAACATGACCTCTATATTCTGGTGAGGGAATGGATAGAGAAGAAAACAAAGCGGAATCAGTTGAGTGGCAACGGCATCTGGTTTATAAATAATTTGGTTATCAGATCTTGAATTTCTAGTATCAAAGTCTTGAGCTAAAAACTAAGGGAGAGGTTGGGAAGTCTATGCATAGGCAAGAAAAGTTATACGCCCTGGGAGTCGGGCTCAGAGAAGTCATACACCTCCCTACTCTCCATCCACAGTCCTTTCGAACATACTTTTCATCCTAAGGCTAGGCTATTATATCTTTGCACTGAAATGTAAAATAGTTTATCTTGCTCTACCATTAGAGAAAAAAGGAGTAAGGGCCTGGTTGACTGAGGACAGAATGGGAAAGCATAGAGAAGAAACAAGTTAAAGTTTTAAAGTCATCATTAAGACAGTATTTCTCACAATCATACAATCTTCAATACAATGTTTGATGTGTTGAATTGTTGATTTGCCTTAAGCATCAAAATTAAGGTAACTGTTTCAGCCATATTTTGCTGAGTTACAAGCCATCTCAAACTCTATGGCTTAAAACACTATTTTTGTTGTTGTTGTTGTTCTATCATGATTTTAGATTTGCCCCCCCCCACCCCCCCTGCAAGCCGTTGTTTCATCTGGCTCCCTCATGTGCTGCACTCAGCTAAAGGCTAAAGGTTCTCCAGGGCTGGAAGTTCCCAACGGCTTCCATTGCATGTCCAGCTATTGGTACAATCAGCATACCCTCTCCTCCTCGAACCGACTGGATCAGCTTCCTTATACAGTGGACCCAAATCGGGAGCTACAAGATCTCTTGAGACCAAGACTAGCCCTGGGACTGTCTTTGTTTTGTTTATTGGATTTCAATTTGCCAACATTTAGCATAACACCCAGTGCTCATCCCATCCCATCCCCCCAAGTGCCCCTCTCAGTGCCCATCACCCAGTCACCCCAACCCCCCGCCCACCTCCCTTTCCACCACCCCTTGTTCATTTCCCAGAGTTAGGTGTCTCCCATGTTCTGTCACCCTCACTGATATTTTCACTCACTTTCTCTCCTTTCCCTTTATTCCCTCTCACTAATTTTTATATTCCCCAAATGAATGAGTGTGATCAGGACAACGCAGGGAAGTGACAGCGTATCGATTAGGGGGCAAAGGCGAGCCCACGAGAGAGCCAGAGATGAAAGTAACGTTGTAGACTGTATGTATCACCTCTTCAGCCATTGTTGTCTTTAAAAAATCTTTCCATTTACAGAGGATGCACTAATTTAAGGAACTTCATTAACTGGCTTTCTTTTTCTTAATATTTTATTTATTTATTTATTTATTTATTTATTTATTTATTTATTTACTTATTTATTTATTCATGAGGCACAGAGAGAGGGAGGCAGAGACACAGGCAGGGGGAGAAGCAGGCTCCATGCGGGGAGCCCGAGGTGGGACTCGATCCCGGGGCTCCAGGATCACGCCCCGGGGTGAAGGCGGCGTAAACCGCGGAGCCACCCAGGGATCCCTGACCTGGCATTTTGTGTTCCTGCCCTCCTTCCTCCCTCCTTGCCTCCCTCCCACCGTCTCTTACACTCACAGGAATGCACAGGTAGAGGGACTCCTCGCGGCAGCCCTGGGGCGCAGCTCCCTCCGCGCACGGGGAACAGGCGCTGCGCAGCCCCGCAGCGGCTCCGGCAGGTGCACCCGCGCAGGGCATTGTGGGAGGGATGGAGGCGGCCGCCCGGGAGCTCGCGCGGGGTCGCGGCCCGAGGGCACAGAACCCCCGGCAGGTAACCAACCCCCTGACTCAGCCGCCCTGGAGGGAGGTCGAGGCTTTTCGCCCTTCCTGCGCGCCCAGCTCTCGGGAAGGCACATCCCGGGACAGGGAGGGCGCGGCCGAGTGTCCCTGCGGAAACGCGAGCTTCTCCCGCAGCAGCTGGGGGCGGGGTCAGGTGCGCGCGAGTGTGGCCTCCGCAGCCCGCAAACCGTGTTGTTGGTTTCCGAGGTCCCTCGAGCTGCAGTGACGTTTGGAGGCCAAGAGTGGAGCCTGCCTGGGTTTACCAACCCGAACGGGGATAACCAGCGGCAAAGATTGCGTTTGCGCCGCCTGCGCACCATGATTTTTCGAGCCTGGGCATTAAGGAGACCTCAGGCTCAAAGGTTGAGGGGAAGGCTGGGAAATGACAGAAAAGCCATTAGTTGTTCATTAGAAAGCCAGGCGGCTGCGGGTCCCTCCGCGGTTTGGCGCCGCCTGCAGCCCGGGTGCGTGATCCTGGAGACCCGGGATCGAGTCCCACGTCGGGCTCCCTGCATGGAGCCTGCTTCTCCCTCTGCCTGTGTCTCTGCCTCTCTCTCTCCTCCCTGTGCATTCTCATGAATAAATAAATAAAATCCTTAAAAAAAAAAAAGGAGAAGAATAGAGGACACACCCTGCCAGATATGAAAAGATGCAGTATTTAAAAAAAAAAAAAAAAAAAAAACTCAACTTCCCTACTCTGTCACCTGAAACAAAGTCTGCAGAGTAATAAAACCCAGGACTCTTCCCCAGGAAGAGGCCCTCTGAGGGCTGCTGTACAGGATCCTTACGCAGCTGTCATCAGTTTGTCATTCTGGTTCAAAGTCCGGGGACCCACAGGCGGGAGGTAAGGTGCTGTATTGATCCAGTAAACTGCTTTCTCAGGGGACTGTGAAACCTGGCAATTTGTTGAGTCTTCTCAATACCCTTGCAAGGGATTTGTTAGCTCTGGTTTACAGGCCAGCTGGCTTTCTTTCTTTCTTTCTTTCTTTCTTTCTTTCTTTCTTTCTTTTTTTTTTTTTTTTTGTATGGCATTAGAAAATGGGTAAAAAATAGCCTTCTGAATGTGACTTTTCTTTTCTTTTTTCTCCACCTACCTCCTGGGTTGGTATAAGAGAGCTTACAAAATGGCAACTGTAGAATGGCAGGTGACCCACACATTTGTTTTATCTGGTTTGCAAAGGATTTAACATTTTTTGGGGGAAGAGATTAGTTCCTAGTTAAGAAGTGGGAGATTTCACATTAAAACAAAAAAAAAAGTTTTTCAAGCTTTCCCAAAACGTCAGTTTCCATTTAGTGATAGTTAGCACTGGGCAGTGGCTGGCTCTCGTAGCTAAAGTATTTGCTCACCAGTTCACGGATACTTCTCTGCCTCTGATTTTAGGCTGCACTTGAGCTCATCTCTAGAGAGTTCAGGAGCAGAGCAAACAACTTCAGGGCTGATCCATGTGCAGCAGCAGTCAGAACCAGTGCCTGCACCCCGCAGTAGTTACCCCAGTAGTTATCTAGGGTCATCACTCAACTTCCCTACTCTTTCACCTGAAACAAAGTCTGCAGAGTAATAAAACCCAGAACTCTTCCCCAGGAAGAGGCCAGAGGGCTGTTGGACAGGTTCTATGACAGGAGAACATATAGGCCAGTCACAATGAGGGAGCCACTGAGAGAGCAGGGGTAGCATAGCAGACTCTGAAAAGTGTGGGAGCTGGGGGAGGTTGTGGCAAGGGCCTCAACCTCAGATGCCTTCTAGGGCCACATAGATAATGAACAAAACTAGAGAAATACATTAACATTTTCAATAGAGATTAGTCATTAGAACACAGTTTTTTTTTTTTGTGACTATTAAGAGTATACAGGAACATACATTCTATGCACTATAATAATAAGGGAAGGAAATGGAGAAAGGTAAATAATCCCTGCTGTATTTTCTCAACAGTTGCTTTCTTTTTCAAAATTGTTAATATTTTGAGGTTCTAGACTTTTAAATCTCAGCATTTCCGAAGACTGTGAGTTTTGGATCAAAGTATACCTAGATCTGAAATTCATTCCTGCCACTGAGAGCTACAGTTTTGCCATTTAAATTTAAGCTGAACCTTTCTTTCTACTTATAACATGAGGTATGTCAATTGAGCAATGAATGTTAAAAGCTAAGCACTCAATACAGATAATATATAGTTCCTATTCTGGAAGAACCACTTGTGAAGAGTATGTTAACAGACAAGTCCATAGATAAATATAATATATTTCGCTATTATGTGGATAAAAATGTGTAGCTAGTACCATGGGGCCACAGAGTAGTAAGCAGAAAGAAACTTGGGAACACTGATGAATTTAAAAAGGCTTGACAGATGTGGTTCTTGTTTTTTTTTTTTTTTTTTTTTTTTTTTTTTTTTTTTTTTTTTTTTTAATGACAGTCACAGAGAGAGAGAGAGAGGCAGAGACATAGGCAGAGGGAGAAGCAGGCTCCATGTACTGGGAGCCCGATGTGGGATTCGATCCCGGGTCTCCAGGATCGCGCCCTGGGCCAAAGGCAGGCGCCAAAACCGCTGCGCCACCCAGGGATCCCCAGATGTGGTTCTTGAACTAAATATTGCCCTATAAATATGTACTTCTCTAGTGGTGGGGAGAGAAAAGTTCCGTAGGCTGAAAAAGAAGCCTAGAAGGCGCAGAAATACAAAAAAGTTCTCTCACATTTAGGAGATACCTGTTGTTTGGCATCGATTGAGCTTAAAGTGGGGGAAAAACACATGAGAACAGATGCATGGAGAGAAGAGAGGAGTTACATTGTAAAGGGTATTTTGAGTGTCCTTAAAATGAGTTTCTAATTTATTTTCTAGGTTAAGGACATTATTAGAAAGTTTTTATCAAAGGAGTAAAATGATCATATTTCAGTTTTTAAAAGATTATTTGGAGCAATGAGGGGGAATATATTGTAGAAGTGATTGATTAGGTGGAAGGCAAGTTATAAGACTATGTCAGGAATACATGTGAAAGATGGTTAGAGCTTGAACTAAGATAGTAAAGAGAGGAAATGATGCTACGGGGAAAAAGCAGTAAAATATGATTAATTATCTGATTGTGATATCAATTAACAAATAACTTTTCATATCCAAACTTTAAGTATTAATATATGACATTAAATTACTGTTCCAAATGAGTAGCTCCTGTCAGTGAATTATTGTTCCTGAAATATCTAGACTTTGTTTTGTGTTTTCCCCTATTCCACAATGAAAC